GGGAAAGAGGCATGTGTACTTTTCTGTTTCGACCTCACTGTGGAGAAGCTGGGTCTATCACACACCTTGTATCAGCCTTTCTGACAGCAGACAACATTTCCCACGGATTGCTCTTGAAGAAGGTATTGCTTAGTTGCTCACCTAAACTAATGACTATCTGCTTAGACATCAGTCACTGGTTCAAACAGCAGTCACCAAATTGACTTTATCTGGGCAGCCCAAAATTAATTTTCTTAGCAAGGCACAAGTAGCTCTTCACTTTGATCAGAAATAAATAAGCTCAGCTGAACTTCCTATTTCTTATTTAAGCTACAAAAATACAGCTTTTCCTAAGTGAGTATTTTAAAGCTATGTCTTTATAGGGAAGATCAACTATTCAGATATGTCAAGGACTTGGTGGCACCTGTTTTCGGTTACTCCAAGTAGAGCTAAAATTATATGGAAAAAACTGCTTAGACTTGTTACTACTTCCTGGTTTAGGTCCCAGAAGAATTTAAGGAAAGCTCTAGTTTCTCCTGTACAGGGACAAAGGTCATTTTCCCTGACTGGCATCCCTGTACTTCAAGGTTCATTCAGAAGTTCATTAAGGTTTTGGTTATTTATATCTAGAGTAACTGGGATCACTTGATCAAGAAATTTAACATAGCTGTATAACACAGCAATATTTCATATACAACTTGATTGTTATGACAGGACAAACGTTATCATTACTGGTGTATCAGTTAATAAAAACCATCATGCAACTCATCCCCAGGCCACCGTTTTGTAATTAAAATAATTGGTCAGTGGGTGGCAGACTTACACTGAGTTTATTGTAATTTTTTGGAAAGGGTTCTCTTGTGTCTTGGATTTTCTGGTTAATGCTGGAAAATTCTCTATTTTTCAACATATCCAAGAACAAAGAAAAAAGAAAAATTTTGCCTAAAATCATGTCTCGGAACCAGTAATTCCTAAAATTAGACCCAGACAGATTAGTACTAAGGCTGTATGTGACCAAAGCATTCTCCTCTTCACTCTCTCTTGCTTAGCCTGGTGCGATAACCTGGCACAGCAGATGATGATGATGATGATGATGATGATGATGATGATGATGATGATGATGATGATAATAATAATAATAATAATAATAATGGCACTTGTTACTTTCACAGGTTGGTTAAGCCAAAAATAGTAGTAAAGATGAGGTGACCACAGATTATTTGTATTCTGTCCAACAGCAACACATGACTTCTAATAAATGAAAACTACTTCTGCTCCTAAAATTTACCTATTGGACTGCAGTTTTGAAAATAACAAATTGCTTAGCAGTTCTTAAGCATCTGTTATCTGTGACTTTCAGGTTTTGGGGGAAAGGTATGCAATTAGTATCAAATGCAGTGTCCTTAATAGTCATATATACTTACTAATCTACAGTAATATTCGTCACCATATTTTAAAAAATATTACATATGTTGAAGAATGTAAATTATTTTTATGAAGATCAGTTACATTTAAAATTCAGACTTTTAAATATTTTCTAAAGAAGTCAGAGTTTAGTGTCAACCTAAATTTTTTTAGTCTTAGTCCTCCCTCTGTAATGCTGTTTCCACTTTATCCAAGGAAATCCTTCTTTTTTTCATTATCCCATAGTACCATTAATGCTGATTGTGTTTTGTTTTGCAGAGTCCTGTCCTCCAGTATCTTTATTATCTTGCACAAATACCCATTGCTATGTCTCCTCTTAGTAACAACAGCCTATTCCTGGAGTACTCAAAAAATCCACTACGGGAATTTCTACATAAGGGACTTCATGTCTCTCTCTCCACAGATGATCCTATGCAGTTTCATTATACAAAGGTAAGAATTGCAAAAAGCACTCGTCTTTGAATTTGGCAGCAGTACTGCATAGGCCCAGAATGACCTGAAAGCTATTTTATATCATTGCTTAGGATATAAAGTTTCATGTCTTTCACTCACTTCATTCAATATTCTTCCTCATTCTCAGTCTACTACTCACTATTAGGTTTCAGAGGGAAATGTCTGATTTCCTAATTATGTTTCTTTTGTACTCTTGCCTCTCCAGTGTTGGCTGTTGAAGTATAGAATGAAGGATGAGGCTGAAGGGAGGTTTGAGCCTTCATAAACAATCCTCTAGAGTGCCAGGAAAGTCCAGTTTCCTTCCTAATAAATCTGGGGAAGTACATTACAAAAACACCATGTGGAATCTCTGAAGATGACGTATGAGCTGTTTGCTCAGTGAGCTGAAACGGATTCTTGCCCTTGGGTGGCCTGGCAGGGCAGAAATGCCTGGTCACTGGTTTTGATGCCGTAATTTTGTGGTCGGCACTGACTTGAGTCATGCTGTGCCTTAGAGTGGCCTGTACATTGCTCAACTGTCTGTGTTCTGAGGACAAGCTGAGCTCTGTGCTTCACCCAGGCTTGCTTCTGGCCCATGACATGTCTCTGCTAGAAAAGACAGAGAGCTTCTGTGGGGCCTCTCTGCATGGGTGTAATGCAGCACCAGCCGAGTTACACATAGTGTGGAAGATCCTCAGCTGTGACAGCCCACTAGAGTCAGACCCAACCGTCTTGTGTGGAAGGTCAGAAGTGAGAAATTGCCCTACTATCTGTCTGTGTACATATTCATTAAAGATTTAGGACTAGATCCTCCAAGGTGTTTGTATACCCTGGGATCTCATTTGAAATTGCCTAATAAATGCCTCTAAGGATCTGGACTGCAGGCTGCAATTTCCTAGACTTAAGATAACTGGATACCCAGTGCCTATTAATTATTTAACAGTCGCCCTTGGGAAATTAGAAATAACAGTTCTGTTCATTACTAATTGTGATGTTAAAGTCTTAAACCTCTAATTTTTCACAGCTATCTAAAGAGCATGTATAAATTCCTTAATTAGTAATGAGTATGTGTCTCCATTTACATCTTATTTACATATAATTTAATATTAAACATATTTTTGTGATACAGGAAGCTCTCATGGAAGAATACGCTATTGCAGCCCAGGTATGGAAACTAAGTACCTGTGACTTGTGTGAAATAGCAAGAAACAGCGTACTACAGAGTGGATTGTCAGATAAGGTAATTATGGCTGAAAAAAATCTCTTTTGTGAATATGAGGGCAAGTAGGAACTGAGAAGTCAATAGTCTGAAAATTGAATAGTAGGTGCTTATGTGATGTATTTGTGCACACCCCTCTGCTCTTTTCCAGAAATATTCACAAACTATCTGCTGTGCAGTCTTACATTAAAAAAAGTATTAACATTACAGTTTTCCTCATTAGCTTTGTTTTGGAATCCCCAAAACATGCAGAAAGACCAGGTGCCCGTTTATACTCAGTTCTGCCTCCAGTCCCAAACCTTTAATTACTTGGGTGATATCCCTTTGCCAGTAATTTTATACACCATGTCTTGCATTGAGTAAAAACAAACTGCCTGTCATAAGCAAGACATGTTTTTGCTTAGAAGGGAGTACTACAGAAAATATTCTGGTTTAGATAGGCAGTCAGATTAGAATAAATTCCCTTTTGGCTTTAAAATTCTATGCATCCATGGCTTTCTCTAGGACTTATTTTAGAGCATCCTCTCTTCTATGTCACTTTCAAACATTCCTCTCTAGGAGCTGGTATGTGGAGGGGCTTTTGCAAGTATATTCTGTTGTTTCTTCCAATGTCCTCTTGTGACAACTACCAATTTTCCTCTTCTGCAACGTTTAACTAACAAAAGAAACCTAAGCCTCTTTGACCTCTCACATGAAAGATGTAGTAGTGAAGACTGAACACTAGCACAAAGGGTTTTAGCAAGCCAGACTGAGTGCACCGCTGAGTAATTTTATGCATAAACTTTGGCCCTAAAATCTCCAAAACTGGTTAAGACTCTGAGGTAAAGTTCAATGGCCAGCTGGTTGAAGCTGCTCTTTTCACTTGCACTGGAGTCATTCAACTAACAAATACTCAGTTATACAATAAATCAAAGTGATTGAACTGACTCCTTCCTTTTTACCTTTAATCCCGTTCACAGGAAAAACAGAAATTCTTAGGGGTGAATTACTGTAAAGAAGGGCCTGAGGGAAATGACATTCGAAAGACAAATGTTGCACAGATCCGGATGGCCTTCAGGTACGAGACACTGTGCAATGAACTTAGTTTCCTGTCTGATGCTATGAGAACAGAAGAGATTTCTACTCTGTCAAAGTAGTTACAAACTCAAAGAAACCAGAACATTTCACTCCTGAGCAGGGTAAGATGCTAATTAACATTGAATCATCTGTCTTTGATGCTACCAAGACATAACTGAACAGTACAGAGAAAAATAGAGTATCTATGGAAGGTAAACAGCATTTGCCGTTATCTTTTACTGCATTATTCTCATTGCAAAAATATCAGTTTCTACAAACATTAGGCTTTGTAAGATTGCTGTAAATACTAAATGCAAACTCAGTCTCATGTAATATTTGTTTCATACTGTCTTAACTGTGGAATATACTGTAGCTTGGAAAACAACAGAGAATATTCATAGTGCATCTGTGATATGCACCTTAGGATTCTGCAGATGCTGACAGTATACATGCACCTGTTTTTGTCCTGCTAGTCTCAGTAGCGGTCATGGCATTTAGCACTTTTAAGTTTAACCCTTTATTCATTAGCAGTTTGTATGGGGTGCATAATTTTGAGGCTACCCTTTCATTCTGGAAGGTGTTCTGACACAGGTTTTTATCTTAATGTTTCAGCAGTTATACTGGAAAACAAGAAAAAACAAAATCCGGTAGTCCTGTTTAATGACTAATTAATTACTTCCTGTTGTCATGTAGGATGTCTGTGAAGAATAGCAGATTAATGCTTTTTAATCTAGTAAGTAGAACACATGGTGTCAAAATCATCACTATTGTACATTGTAATAATGAATCTAATTTTATCATGAAAACTTTGCCTTGAAAGTTGAGAACACTTTTTTATTGCTTTGTAATGGGAATATGTGGGTACGCCAGTTCAAATTACTTGGAAATTTATGCAGATAATTTTGGTTGCATGTAAAGAGAAATTTTTTTACTTGAACAAAGGAAGTGTTCTTATGAATCAGTGGTAGAAACTCCAGACCTGGGTGCTGGTCCTACTTCTGACATCTTTTTACACATTTGTGTTAGTTTGTATTTTAGTCAGTTAGAGTTGAATGAGAAGTCTATTTATACAGAAGCTAGCCCACTTGAAATATGTCATTTCAAATCATGTTATGTTAAAATTTTATTTCTGATGGAGTGGCTAGTAAAATACAGCTAGTGGAATATTTATCACTTTCAATCTTTTTTCTATTTGATCATCCTTCTTAAGACATAGTTACTACTCATTCAGAAAGGATTAAAGGTTATAACATGATAGCATTTATGTATTGTAGAAGCTGCATGTAGTTTCACACTTTTTAGCAGGGCCTGTTGTGACAGGACCAGGGGGAATGGCTTTAAACTAAAGGGGGGTAGATTTAGACTAGATACAAGGAAGAAATGTTTTACGCTGAGGGTGGTGAAGCACTGGCACAGGTTGCCCAGAGAGGTGGTGGATGCCCCATCCCTGGAAACATTCCAGGTCAGGTTGGACGGGGCTCTGAGCAACCTGCTCTAGTTGAAGATGTCCCTGCTCATTGCAGAGGGGTTGGACTAGATGACCATTAGAGGTCCCTTCCAACCCAAACTATTCTATGATTCTATAAAAAAGACTCGAGGCTAGGGGCAGCAGAGGATGTTGATGCCTGTAAGTCCAACATTACACTACTTAATTTGAAGGCCTAGAGTCCCTAAGCTATTAACCCACAGAGACCTGGGTATCTAATATAATACATAGGGAAGTTAGGCATCTTAGAGCAGTAGTTCAGAATTAATGCATAAAAAGCAAATAATGAATACTAGCCAATCGAGCCTCACTAGACCTGGAACCCTGCATGTTTTACTACATCAGATATCTTGTGCCACTTGTATTTCTTAGGCTAGGCCCCTCTCCTGGGGCTTGGGCATCTACATCCCTCCTTTCAAGAGCTGATCGGGTCTCACTTTCCCTTGTAAAGGCAGCCAGAAGTAGCAGTGATGACATCACCAGTACCAAACAACTCATTAATGGCATAAATGTATATATGCATTGAAGACATACACTGTCTCCTCAGGCTGTGGCAGTTCAAAGCAATACCTACAAGGACACTTTTTTTAACATACCTGCTGTCCTGAATGGTGATTGCAGGGAAATGGCACCAAAGTAAGGGAAGGAGGAATTCCCTATCACCTCCTGTAGCTGTGCAGCCCTGTAAGAGAGATTAAACCTAAAGACCCTTAGGAAGCAGCCTGGAAGTAAGGCTGCCCCGAGGGAGACCGAGGCACAGGAGTAGAGTTCTGGCCATCCAGTCACCATTACAGTTTGCCAGTGTCATGCATAGGGAGCTGCAGTGATTGCAGATGTTCTTCATCCACAACATGGTTGCAGACAGGTGGTGGGAGGCTTGACTTTAGCTCTTCAGTGACCTAGCCTAATGTCTGCAGTGTTCAACTAGTGCCAGATTTTGTATTCCTTGTGCAGCTAAAAATTGTGCGAAACTGTGCTACACCTATGGTGTTCAACTGTATGATAATAAAATTGTCCAAAGCTTTTAGTCAACAATGCCTACTGGCCTCACTGTTAGAAACTTTAGCAGCTCATATAATGCATTATCAGGATTGGCAAGTGTAATTTCCTTAGGATGAAGTCTGAAAACAGTGGTTGGAGCATTTTAGCTGCATAAAATGCAGACATCTTGTTTTCATTAGTACAACTTACTAGTAAGTTGTTATCAACATAACATAATTTACCTGAGCAAAGCATCTACGTCCAGGCTAAATAAGCAACATGCTTGGTTTGAAGAATTTAAATTGTAAGTATTTTCACCTGATAAACATTGCTTTACTTGGGTTGTTTCACCTGAAGATTGCTATTAGTGCTGCTTTTGTTGTTACTTAAATTTCTTATTTAGTTTTCTTAATAATATACCAAATCCGTGTATGTTTAATACCTTTTCAGCTTTCCTTACCTCAAACACATCAGGTTCTAATATGTCTGTATCTCTTATTAAAGAAAAAACCCAAACTGGATTTGAATATTCAGTTAACGGACAGTAATCAGGATTTTGATAATAACAACAATAACCCACAAGTGGCCATGACCACAAGTTCTCTTTCTGTGCTTCCTTGTGTGCTGCTTTTAAGGATAACTTGAGCTAATAGCGTTACATTTAAGGAAAAAACCCGACATCCTTTCAAGCTCCCACTACTACATTTCTTTTGGTCATCTTTTAATTAGGCAAAAGTTACTGATTCTCAAGTTCAGTTCTTAAACTTCAGCTTCTTCTCTTTTTTTAAAGTTGCACTTTTGTTCTAATGTATGGCTGTTCAAAATAACCTTGCAGTCTTAGGATATGTACGTAATGAAGGGCAGACCCAGTGTTGAAGTGTTACTGACATCTGAATGACTATTGTACACATTTACTCAAATGCAAGGCAGGGCAGTTGCTGATTCCCCCCGACAGTGTTGAGATCAAACCTGGTTACACCACAGCTTATGTTTTACTCAAACAGAAAGGGACCAGAAGAACATCATTGCAGGTGGTGATTGGGGCGGGTGTTGCTTCAGAATGGGAGAATATCCTATTTTCTCATCATTTCATTGGTGTTAAGGTTCAAACATTATTCAAGACTTCCTTAACTCTGTTAGCTCAGAGCATTTTATACTTTCACCTAAAATGGTTAATTATGGTTATTTGGTGTTTACAACATATCTAT